GATATCGGGATGATGGGTGACGAGCTCAATGGTGGGTAACAATCATGTTGCTTTGCATCTTAGGTGACTGCAGACTGACTATGGAGTTTGGCAGGAATCATTATTCATTAAGCAACGATCGTCATAACAGAACAATAATAAGGAACATCTATCTCTTCGGTATGTTTTGCAAGATCCCGCCGTTTTCTAACTGCCAGAGAAGTAAGCCAGTGGAGAGGATGGTATTGACTGATGAGTCCAAGATGTCTGTGAAGTATGATCAGATCTCGAAGACTTGAATCAGGATGAAGTGAGATAGAGCTGTGGGAGCTCCTTTTTGCAGATGCCGAGCTTACGAGCTCAAGCAGAGTCGACGAACTCGAGCAGAATTGGGAAGCCACAAATTGCCTTGGTGACATAATCTGGGTGATAGCTTTGGTAGAGATTTGACATCTGGCTTTGTATCTTTTATGGTAGAAGCCCTTGTGAACGACCTCTTTGCCCTTTTCTTTTTTGGAGAGTTTGATTTGGAGAAGAAGCTGTGAACGACCTTCCTTTCTTATTTGTTTCTTTGTCTGTGATTGTGGAGGAGTTGTGGAAGACATCGGTGTTGATATGTGAATACCGACAAGGGACAAAACAGTAATTTAGATCGGAAGCTCGGTTTTATTAGATTGAATCAAGTGAAATACAACTGAGTTCGGTTATTTCGATAGGCAATAACGAACTAAGACTTAATGCGACTAAGAAACTATCGTAATGAGTTCTCAATCTCTAAGTCTTCTCAGGAATAACTTGTGTTCTCTGGTGTCGATTCGTCTCCCTTTATATATATCTCCTAAGTCGGTCTTCAAGCACGCCTTAGAAGATATGGGACCGAGAGGAGTTTCCTTTTCTCTCGGTTCCTTTCCTTTTCTCTCCGAAGTTTCCTTTTTCCCTTAGGAAACTTTCCTGTTTCGGCCGAGCTCAAAGAAACCTTCTATTCCTTCGAGAGGTTTCTCACCGACCTCGGCCTAATGGGCTGTCTCCGGCCCATCTTCGCTCGGCCCACCTTCTCTCGGTACTTCCCTTCGTAAACCGAGCTTATGGTTTGCTGATCTCGGTTTGTACCGGAGAAAACCGGGGTGCGGTTTTCACCTCCAACAGTTAGCCCCCCCCTCAGTTCGGTGAAAGGAGGTGACTTTCGATCGAACTTGTTTCTTCGGTTATTGGATCACAAACCGAGCTCGGTAACTGCTGTCGATTCACATTTCCGGACATTTCGCGCCTGTCTTCAATGAGACGCGTGAATTACGGGATCCGCGCGAAAATCGAGAAACCACGATTCCCACTGTTTATAAGAGAAAAAACCCTTCTCTCGCATTCATTATTCTCACTCCAGCATATATAAGGTACGCCGCTCTCCCTTCTCTCTAGATTTTGTTTCTCTCTCTAGTTTTCATTTATAATTTCTCTCTCGTTTCTTCATCTCTCGCCGCCGCGAACTCTTGATTTTTCCGATCAATCTTCAAACTTCCCGATCAACCTTCAATCTTTCCGGTTGATCTTCAAACTGTTCTTCATTTCCTTCAAATCTTCTTTCCCAAACCCAAAAATGTCTTCCAGTTCTTCGATTAATTCTTCTTCGAACAAAATTCTTCCGGAAGACCGCCGTGAGTCCTCGGAGCCAAGCTCCTCTTCTTCAAACTCTCAGCAGTCGAGTTCATCACAGGAAGAAAGCAACCTTCCCCAATTAGTTCGTAAGAACTCCAAATCTGCGGAAGCTAGCAGCAGCCGTGCTAGAGTCAGGATTGAAGCTACCGAGCATCTGACTACAGAGGCTCGCGAAACGGAGGCTCGGACCGGGCCGAACGTTGGCGCTAACAACCCTGAAATCAAGGAGGTCGAGGAAGAATTTCAGGGGGAGAACGTTACTGAAGCTGAGGTTGCCGAGGACAACGTTGAAGCGGTTATTCATGCTTCGCCGCCACTTCCGAGGCGGAAAGTAGTTCGTCCTAACAATGTGCCCTCTTGTTCCCTCTCCCCTGGTACTGTTCGAGCCGTACTCGAGGTAAACGGGCTTGCGGACAAAATCATTTTCATTATTCCGGAAGCCAGAGATCGGCCGTGGGACATTCCCGAAGGCTTCCTTTGCGTCTACCTGACGTACTTCACTCAGTACGGGCTTTCTTTCCCAATCCCCTCTCGCCTGCTGGGATACTGTAATCGGCGCGGCGTAGCTCTTACACAAGTGATGCCGGCCTCAATAACGAACTACGTTGGGTTCGTTTCCCTATGCAACGAGCTCGGTGAAGTCCCATCGAGTCGAATTTTCGAGGACCTTTTCTCAGTCAACATTCATAAGTCGAAGGAGTGGTTCTTCGCTGCTAATGTTAAGCCGAAGAAGAATATATTTACTGGACCTAAGCCCAGTAAATTCAACGACTGGGAGTCCCAGTACTTCTATATTGAAATGAACGATCTCACCGTCAGCAATTCTGACATCTCAGTTCAGTCGAATTGGAAGATTCCGATTGGTAGATTAGATGATCTCATACTTAGGTAAATTCTAACTTTTACCGCTTGCTAACTTTACTTCATTTTATTTTTGTAGGTCGTCATCTTCCAAGTCTTATTCTCAACTCCGGACTCACTTCTGGGTTCGAAGAAGCCTTTAGTGAAGCCGGTAAACGTCGTTGGCCGGAAGTTTGGGAAGAAATCCTTCAACGCCGAGCTAAGAAAGCGGGTATGTTTATTGAATCCTCTTTACTTATTTTACTCTAAATTTACTCCGAACTCCTCCTTTGACATATTTTCATTTCAGGCTCCGTTCGAGAACCAAAACCGCGCAAGCCAAAAGCTCGAGCTAGAAAGCCTCGAACCGCTCCTAAGCGCCAAGCATTGAAGTCGCGAATTCAACGCTCCCGAACTGCCAGGATGCTTTCAATTGACGAGATCCCGATCGACTCTCTTCGATGAAGAGGAACCGGATGTGGCTGATCCGACCCCAGTCCTTGCTACTGAACGGACCGATGTGCAGCCGGAAGAGTTGCCACCTGCTGCGGGCTCACCTGACCACGCTGGTCAGAGAAAGCTGAAAAAGAAAAAGTCTTCGAAGAAGACTAAGAGGACTGAAGATTCCTCCCGAGCACAGGATGCTCCTGCTGAAGCTGAGCCACCGACGGCCGTGACGTCGGATCTCGCACTACCTCAGGATCGAGCTGAAGCCTCTCGGTCCAGAAAAAGACAAGAAAGGGATCGGACCGAAGGGTCACCTGGTTCAGAGCCGGCTAAAAGGGCCAAGGTTTTCTTTGACTACGACGAAGAAACCCCCTTTGAGGAGAACGTCGATGCCTGTGCTGAACTATACCATAAAATCTCGACCGAGGTCCCAAGTCTCCCATCGGTCCCCGAGCTCCGGTTCCCTAACATGTACAAGGGGATCGCGCGTACAACTGCCGTGGTAACCTTCTGATTCTACTCTCTTTATTTAATTATCTCAAGTGTGAGTTCTGATTCGAGATTTCTTTTTTGCAGCTCGCTAGCCAAACCAATAATCTAGTCGCCGCTTACGAAGTGGCGCTGTTTGACGAGCAAGTGCGGGTCGCTGAGCTCGAGGAAAGGGTTATGAGAGCAGAGGAACGCCTTGCGACCGAGCTCCAAATGAATGAAACCCTGCACTCTTCGGTGGAGCTGCTCAAGCAGGAGAGCGCTGAGCTAAAGGCGGTGAAAGACAAGGATCGGCTGCAAGGGCTGGTGGCTCACTGGAAGAATCGAGCTAGGAGCGTTCACGCAACGGCTTGCAAACGCCTTGAGAAGGTCATCCGGAGCCTGGACGATGCTGACAGGGCTCGGAAGCCGTACTTGGTCTACAACCAGCTCACCGGGGTCCTCGGTTTCATCAAGCAGTTGCGGAAGAAGGGTCTGTACGAGGTCCCGCCAGAAATGGTTGCTGATATTGAAGCAAAGCATGCCAAAGCGCTGGAGGACTTCAAGGCGATCGATGCTTGCGTTCTCACTGAGGAGGACAAGAGGATGTCTCCGTTCGTGGAGGACGATGACATTCCGGTCGTAAATGTGACCCAGAGTGCGCAGGATCCTGCGAGGGGTGAGCAGTTCGGCTCAAACGAGGACATACTCAACGCTGCTGCTTCGAAGACCATCTAATCTCTTCCTGTTTTTCTTTTACTCTCGAACTTAACTGCCCTTGCATGGGTTTCCTTTTGTAACTTTTATTCCGAGCCCTTGGTGGGTTCTAACTTTATTTGCCTCTCAGGAGGTTTTTAATTTATATGCTCGTTCCTTTTCTTTTATGCCTTGACGTCTTGAAAGAATCTATTAAGTAATAGATCGGTATCTAATTTTGAATTTTGACTTTATCTTGTCGTTAATTTAGAAAAATCTTTCAAGTACTAGATCGGTACATAGTAGATGATGTTCAAACAATTTTTATCTTTTGATAGCGAATTGCGATAATTCGGCTTACGTTTTGCGAGTGTTGTGAACTCGGCTTATGGTGCGAATCTGAGGAGTTCGGCTTATTGTGCAAGCATACGAGCTCGGCCTGGGGAACCCAAGTGAATCATTTCATACTGGAAGAGTGAACTAGTTCGAACTCCTGTAAACGCATGAAACGAATTCAAGGTTTTTCTAAGTCGAACCTAAGTATGCGAGATGTGCTCGGCTTATTGTTCTTGGTGACTTAGAAATTTAACTGCGGGACTGGGCCCGGCTTTTGATATGTGGCTCAACCACGACACCATGTGGGTGCTCGCGAGACGGATCTCGGCTTTTAAGTTTGCATTTATGTGGAATGCTATCGAACAACTGGCCAGGAAGTCGATGTAAAGACAAGGAGTTCGGTCCCTTGTGATTTTGAACTAACACTTAGTCATATTTGACTTAATAAAATTTTATTGAAGTTATAGCTGGACTCGGTAACGAGCTGCCTACGTACCCTTTAAAGGGCTCAAGCCATTCGTAGTTCTAAGCACAAAAGGGGTTTTCGCTCCGACTAAGTAGTTCGGAGGCCTTTTTTTTTTTTTTTTTTGAGCTCGAAGCGAACTAGTAGTAGTACCGTTTGAGATGCATTGAGTTCCAAGATCGCGGGATCGGAGTTCCATCTAACTTCATGAGTTGATAAACTCCGGGCTTAACAACTTTCATAATCTGATACGGTCCTTCCCATTTCGCGCCAAGCTTTTCTGCGTTCTTTTCTTCTGTGTTTTGGTAAACTTTGCGAAGTACGAGATCGCCATCTTCAAAGTGATGGCCTTTAACCTTTTTGTTGTAGTAGCGAGCTGCCAGTTGCTGGTAATTCTGTATCCGGAGTAGTGCTCGTTCGCGATGTTCTTCGACTAAGTCGAGTGCGTCGATCATCATGTTGTCATTCGCGTCGGGTTGCTGGGTAAGCATAGTTCGGCGAATGCTTGGGACGTTGAGTTCGGCTGGACACATAGCTTCTGCGCCATACGCAAGGAAGAATGGTGATTGACCGGTTGAACGTCGTGGTGTAGTTCGGTGAGACCACAGGACGCCGTCAAGTTCGTCTGCCCAAGTTCCCTTAGCGATATCAAGTCGTTTCTTTAGTCCGTCAATGATGGTCTTGTTCGTGGCTTCGGCTTGTCTGTTTCCTTGCGGGTACCGCGGGGTAGAGAAACTTAGTCGGATCTTCCACTT